AGATTTTCGGAAGAAGCATGGATCCATCATTCCTATCATGAAGCTTAGGATGAAGGAGGATATTCTATCGACCTTGGTCCAGTTCTATGATTCAATGTATCATTGCTTTACTTTCCCCGGCTATCGGTTGATGCATACGCTGGAGGAGTATTATTATCTGTTGGATTTACCTATTACCGATCGTGTTCCTTTCACCGGTTTGGAGGGTGAGCCAAAATCACATGAGATTACTGCTTTGATTCATCTAGGGAAGTCTGAGGTTGAAGCCCATATGACTACTAAAGGAGGTATTAGAGGATTACCAGCTCAGTTCTTATTGGAGAACGCTCGTTACTTTGCAAGGATGAAGAGTACATTCGCTTTTGAGGCCATCTTTGCTCTACTTGCTTACGGGTTGTTCTTATTTCCTAATGTGGACAAGTTTGTTGACATTAATGCTATAAGGATCTTCATGATTGGAAACCCAGTTACTACATTGTTGGTAGATGCTTATTACTCTATTCATCTTCGGAATTCTTATCATGAGGAGATGATTATTTGTTGTACGCCTCTGTTGTACCGGTGGTTTATCTATCATATACCTCAGTCTGATGCTTTTTGGGATGTCAGGAAGGGACCTTGTTGGGCTCCTAAGATCATGGCACTTAATCACTCGGATATTGATTGGTATCATCGAGCTTACCAAGATGTGGAGATTGTCGTCAGTTGTGGTAGTTTCCCCAATGTACCTCTTCTTGGTACAAAGGGAGGAATTAATTATAACCTTGTTCTTGCACGACGACAGCTTGGTCATCCGATGAAGGATAAGCCAAATAGTTTTCATTTGAGTAGTTTCTTTCTGAAGGATGGAGAAGAGCATAAGGAAGATAGGGAGCAGACTGCAAAGGCCTAGCGTCACATTCATTAGAAGAGTAGGAAAGATTTGGGACCGAGAGGAGTTGTTTCTTTGGAGCCTTATCTTCAGTGGGTCCAAACGAGAGATATTCGGTTAAAGATGTCATATTCCCGGGAAGCACCTATGCCTGATTTATTTGTGAAGACCACTCCTCCCTTATTGGATGATGTTGAAGAGATACAACTTGCTTTAGTCAGGATGCAACAGGAAAAGGATGCTTGGAAGAATAAGTGCCAAACTTTTGAGATTTCCTATAGAGCAGATTTGAAGGAGAAAGATGACTTGATTGAGATTCTTGAGAGTCGTGTTGTAGAGATGATGGAGAGGTAAGGGGATTTATTTTCTCCTAAGCCTCACTTGGATGCTAGTTGCTCACTTCCTAATTCAGGTGATCGAAAGGAGGTTGCCACCAGATATGCGGAAGAAAACCTGAGGTTGAAGGCTCAGAAGCGCCTACGTATAGAGTGATCTCCATCAGCTTCACTTTTTAGGGTTTTAGACTTTACTTTTATCTTGTAATTGGGATCATTGAAACTTGTAATCCATTTTTAAGTTATTATAATAAAAAATTTCAGTATCTCAAATGTGTTATTACTTTGATATTTGCAATGTGTTTATAAATCTTTAAGTCTCTTGAAAAATGTGTTTATAAATCTTTAAGTCTCTTGAAATATTAAAAATAAATCATGTGCATTGAACATCATGCATCATATTGCACATATTTCTTGAATTTGTTATGCATATCCAGATGTCTTACCAAACTTCTTTACTTTGTTCAACAAGTTGTCTCACCACTACAACACTCGAGCTAATTTTAGAAGTAAGATGGACAACTTAGAACAAAAGAATCGCGAGCTGCACGAGGAGGTTTCTAATTTGATGGCCGGCATGGCCAATCTTACTGCTCTGATGGAATCTATGGTGGCTGCTCAGAATCAGCCAGCGAGTGTTCAACCTCAACCAACAAGGGTCACTACTAAAGCTCCGACTGTTCCTGTGTCTGCTACTCCAGTTGTTGTTCAGAATCGCATGCCTCAAGGTTATCCATGGGGAATGCCAGATAACTTTGCGCCTGAAGGATTTAATCATGGTCCTCAAGAAGCTCCAGTTGTTCAGACTACTGTTACTCCTGCACCTCCTGGGGTGCATGTTTCTCCTGTTATACCTCCTTCGGTGAATATGGTTCCATTTGTTAATGATGATATGTGTCGTCCTTTTCCTCCACCAAGTGTAGACCAGGGTCTTTATGACAGAATGGATGATTTTCAAGAGCAGTTTGACAAGATGTGGAGGGAGATGAACGCCCTCAGGGGAAAGGAATTGTTCGGGAAGAATGTGAATGAATTATGCTTGGTCCCGAATGTTCAGATACCTGCGAAGTTTAAGGTCCCGGAATTCGAAAAGTACAAGGGAAACACTTGCCCTCGTTCTCATCTGGTAATATATGTAAGGAGTATGTCTACCCATAATAATGATCAGCGTCTGCTGATTCATTTTTTTCAGGATAGTTTGACCGGTGTTGCGCTGAAGTGGTATATGAGTTTGGACAGCGTCAATATCCATACTTTCAATGACTTGGGAGAAGCATTTATCAGATAATACAAATACAACATGGACATGGCGCCTGACCGTGATCAACTCAGGGTTATGGTTCAGAAAGACAGGGAATCATTCAAAGAATATGCACAGAGATGGCGTGAGGTAGCCGCCCAAGTGATTCCTCCCATGGAAGAGAATGAGATGACTAAGATTTTATTGAAGACTCTGGGTGTTTTCTACTATGAGAGGATGGTAGCGAGTGCACCAAGTGACTTTACTGAAATGGTAGGCATGGGTATCCGATTAGAAGAGGCTGTAAGAGAGGGCCATTTAACAAAGAATGAAGGTTCTGGAAATACGAAGAAGCCATCCTATGAGTTTACCAAAAATAAGGAAGGAGATGCAAATGTTTTTATGCAAGAGAGGAGGGTTAATCCTCCTAGAAGAAATTATCAGCGTCATCAACAAGTCGCCTCAGTAACTCTAGTTGTTGGGGTAGCTCCAACCACCGTTGCTTATCAGAGACCATCCTATCAGGGGAATCGAGGGTATAATCAGAGAATGGAGAGTTATGATCCTATCCCTATGAGCTATATAGAATTGCTCCCGATGTTAATTCAGAAGAAGTTGGTTCAGACACGACCACCTCCCTCTATACCATCATCTTTGCCTTGGTATTAAAAGGCGGACCAAACATGTGCTTTTCATTAGTGAGCACCAGGGCATAATGTTGAGAATTGCTATCCTTTGAAGACTGAGGTGCAGAAATTGGTGAAGTCTGGTATTCTATCTTTCAAAGATGTGGGCCCTAATGTGAAAGACAATCCTCTGCCCAAGCATGGAGGAGCAAATACTGTGAACATGGTGGCCGGTTGTCCAGGCGACTTCTGGATTTTTAATATTAATTTGGTTAGAGGAGAGTTGGTGAAAAGGCATGGAGACCTCTGTGAATTTAGCTACTATACGCATGATCATGCCGGTTTTACTATTTGTAGTACAGACCTACAGGGTTGTGACAAGATAAAGGCTGATTTGCAAGAGATGATAGATGAGGGCCTCATCCATATAATCATGCCTAGGGCAGAGTATGAAGAGGAAGTAAACATGGTTTCTGGATGTCCTGGAGAGTTCAAAATTTTTGATGTGGAGTATACAAATGAGGATCTTTTATAATTGCATGCAAATTTCTACCACATGGCTGGTCAGGTGGAACATCAGTATGGATCTTGTCGAATTTGCTGTCGGGAATCCCGGGGATGTTCAATTGTGAGGAAAGGTGTTCAGTTGTTGTTAGACAATGGAACCATCAAGGTTACAGGTCAAAGGGGTGATTACCATGAAGTTGATGTGATTGAGGTTTGTTTGGTTGAAGAAGAGTCAGATGATGAGTATGCCTCTACGGATGAGTATTTCTCCTCAGATGAGGATTTGTTTTCCAAATATTACTCCATAATGACTGATTGTGTTGAAGAAGGGGAAAACCTTTATTGTGCCTTGTTTTGGTGCACCTACCTATTTTGAAGTTGAGTATCATAGCAAGCCAGCTATTACTCCATTGGTGATTAGTTTGTCGGGTCCTGTCCCCTATAAGTCAGATAAGGTTGTACCCTATAAATATATTGCTGAGACTAGCAGAGTGACCCGCAATGGTCGTGTATTTCACTACAAGAAAATTAGTGTTTAACGACACAAAAATTGCGACAGTTATGTGATAACTGTCATAATTGACATATAGAGACAATGTTTACGACAGTTGACACCAACCGTCCCTAATATTTATTTTGCGACGGTATATTTAACCATCATAATATTATTATTACGACGGTAAAACAATCGTCGGCCCCCATTTAACACTTTTAACATTGATTTTTCACCAACAACTAGTCACGACAGTAAAATTAACCATCCTAAAAGGCATATCACGACGGTAAAGCACCCGTCGCACCCTTAAACCTTTCACGACGGTAAAATTATCCGTCCTAAAATTCATTTCACGACGGTAAAACAACCGTCGCACCCAAAACCTTTAAAAATCTCTTGCTAACTTATATATTTTATCTAATTATAATTGTTATGTATATTTAAGTTCTCTCTTGTTAAGGTTAAGTTTATGCATTATTATATATTCTATGAATTTGATACGACAATGGTGTTATGTTCAATTTAATCAATCAAATAAATTTAATCTTTCATCTTTTTCTCAATGCTTGTTATATTTGTATTATGCTTGAGGAGGATCTATGAGATGTCGAGACGGTCTGATAGGACTAGACCAAGGGTAACTTATGGTTATGCCTCGAAAGACATGACTTTTATAACATGATATGTGGATTTAATTGATGTTGAAAAATGATTTTAAGTTTATCCCTAAATAATCTTTTATCATGAGCTAAAGTATATACATAGAGCTTGACATAATATTCACATATATAGTTGAAACACAATGTTATTGTTAAATTTATACCTAATCCTAACTAAACACAAATTGAGTTGCACATTTCCTCTGAAGTTAGAATTTTGATAAACCCATCTCGCAGCCATTACAAATCGTGTATTGAAGTGAAGAATGCTTCCTCAGCGAATGAAGAAAGCTGTTACTGATAACCCTAAAAAGCTCGCAAACTTGATCGATCTCGTTAACCTTCCTCCCACTCTCAGAGACTTCGTCGGTCAATCTCAGACTTCTCGATTAACCTGTTTCATGCGTGTTTGGTCCTACGTCAAAACCAACAATCTTCAGGTTCTGCTTTGTTTTTTCAACTCATGAAAATTGATTCACATCAAAGTAATTGTTGTTATTGTTCTGTTTTCAGGATTGGAGAATTTAAACTTTGAATCAGTGATTAGAATTGGTTGTTTCCTTGCTTGTGCAGGATCCAAATAACAAGAACATGGTAAAATGTGATGAGAAGTTAAAAGGTATTTTACTCGGGAAACCTCGGGTTGAGTTAGCAGAACTTCCAGCACTTATCAAGCTACATTTTCTGAAAGAGCCCAAGTGATGATGTGTGCGATACGAATCAAGATGCATACCCTTCCTCAAGATGAGTCTCTCAATTGTTTTTCGCTTTTCTTTACCCCCATAGATTCAGCAACAACATTAGTATAGAAAGGAACCTAGCAGTTGAAACACCAAATTGGCAGTTTTCTTTGTTGTGTATGAATAATGTATTAGATTAATCTTATCACATGTGATCCAATTTAAAAATCTCCTGTTTTGCTGCATGCTTTTGCAACTATATAAGTTGTTTTAAAGAAATTTTTTTGCCGGGGTTGTGATTTGTTATGCATAAATTTGTGTATATTATTATGATTTATACCGAGTCATTTTGTTTTTTCCATAGGATTTGGAACTTCTGTAGCGGCTGCAGAACTATTGCATCCAAAGCCTCTGCAGTCGATACAAATGAATTAGATAATCCCCATACCCTCTCACATCTTCGTATGCATACCGTTACTCTTTATCGAGAATCATCTTGAACTTGTAAGTTATGATTTCTCCCAGACTCGTTACCATAAGTAGATTGTATGCATTGCAATCGGTTTAGTTAAAATTGATTGCTTAATGTTGCTCCCAAAAACATGAAATTTCATAGTCGAAGTACCTGGCACTCTTTGTTTACTAGGGATCAAACCTTCCTCATTTGTAAGAAATCTCTTTTGAACTCTTTAAATGATGTAGTTGAAGGTACTCTTGCTAACTTTTGAGTGGAACAAAGGGATACCTATAGACTTTCCTTGCTAACTTTTGAAGATTAACTTTCTGGCCAGCTTGTTCACATCACATAAAAAGTTTTCAATAAGAATCTGAACTTATTGGAGCTGTTGCTGAAACAAGATAAGAAAACAGACTTGAATCGATGCAAATTATATTGAAAACGAAAATCCTATAAGAAACCGAAAAGCATTAACGTACCGTATAGTGTAATAGGTAAATGTGTGAATGTTGAATATAATGATTAAAGTTGAATAGAGTAATTAATGCAACATATGTAAACTGGATGCTATTGATTTTGCATATCTACTACATGGAAACTCTGTTAATTTTCATTTCAAATGCATATATGTGATGTTTAATTGAATAGTACAGCCTTAGGGGTTCTTACCATCAATACCACTTTTTACTTTTCACCACAAATGCCACACAACTCGTTTGTTCTCCGATTGATCCAGACTACTGTGATGATATAATTGCATCATGTGATGGTCTCATTTGTTTAGCCAATAATTCTCATGTTGTTCTCTGGAACCCTTCCATTAGAAAACTAAAGAAACTACCCTCTTTAGAAATTCCACAAGATCATGGAACACTAACATATGCATTTGGTTACGACCCTTTCGTTAATAATTACAAGGCTGTTTCTGTGTTTTGCTATGATTTTGAATACATCTGCTGCCAACTACTAGGACATATTGATTTGTTTAGCTCTGATATTGTTGAGATTAGTTAGTTGTAAATTAATATATATATATATATATATATATATATATATATATATATATATATATATATATATATATATATATATATATATATATATATATATATATATATATATATATATATATATATATATATATATATATATATATATATATATATATATATATATATATATATATATATATATATATATATATATATATATATATATATATATATATATATATATATATATATATATATATATATATATATATATATATATATATATATATATATATATATATATATATATATATATATATATATATATATATATATATATATATATATATATATATATATATATATATATATATATATATATATATATATATATATATATATATATATTATATATATCAATGCTGATTTTGGTTGCTGTAATGTTTCCCTATATTTCAACATCATAATCAGTAAGCTGCTACTTTAAAAGATATGGAAATCAGTGTTTGTAATGCTTATACTATATATCTGTGAAAAAAATAAAAAAGGACACAAGAACCATAATTTGTTAGTAGACCAGCTGTTAAAAAGGTGTATGTTAGGAAGGGCAAAAGTGGGAATTAAGCTTGTAACTCTATTGAAGAAATCTCTTTTATTCGAGTCATATCTGCCATGTGATAGTGTCAAAAGTGAGTTACAAGAATTAAACCATGGTGAATTTTACTGAATTGTTGTTTCATGTGTATGTTTATATCTTGCTGCAGTTGGAACACCTACCAGCCTTGGTTACAGGAATTTGGACTGATGATAATAACATGCAGTTCGAGGCAACAACTCAGTTTCGGAAGTTACTTTCAATTGGTTAGATATTGTTCTCTGAACAATTTTTTTTTATGTTAGTTTCTTATCTACTATTTGTTAAGGGATATTTCGTTGACAATATCTATGTCTGATTAGAACGTAGCCCACCGATTGAGGAGGTTATACAAGCTGGTGTGGTTCCGCGCTTTGTTGAGTTTTTGATGAGGGAGGATTTTCCACAGCTGCAGGTTGTTATCGTCTTTGTTTTGTTTTATGCGATAAATGTTACTTCATGTTCACCGTGTTGACTTTGTTTGCTATATGTTGTAGTTTGAGGCTGCTTGGGCTTTGACAAATATAGCTTCTGGAACTTCTGATAACACTAAGGTAGTAATTGATAGCGGTGCTATCCCAATTTTTGTGAAGCTTCTTGATTCTCCTAGTGATGATGTCCGTGAACAGGTATAATTATATATATACTTTATGTGAAGCTCCTGTTTCTAGATTCTAAATGTTATGTTTGAATGTGTTTTTGTGCATGCCAGTGAGGTTGAGCTGAATGCAGTGTTTTGAGTTTTATTATTTCTTGGACAATTTAGTTTGATATATCTCAAAAGTTTAACGTCTTTCCTGTGTTTTTGTGGACTGTCAGACTGTGTGGGCATTAGGAAATGTTGCTGGTGATTCACCTAAGTGTCGTGATCTTGTTCTCGGTCATGGAGCTTTGCTTCCTCTGTTGGCTCAATTGAATGAGCATGCTAAACTTTCTATGCTCAGAAATGCTACTTGGACACTCTCAAACTTTTGCAGGGGGAAGCCACAACCTGCTTTTGACCAGGTTTTTCTTAAATAAGAGTATTTACCTACTTAGATGAGTGATTTCAAGGCTCTATATACATATGCTCAAAACGGGGTTTTACACCCAATACCTGGAACTCTAACAATGATTTTTTAGTACCTTCATATTTTGTTGTTTTAGTAATCTGCAGTTATGAAATGACTTTCTTCTACTTTCTCCATTTGTTTGAATTTTCTTCTTGCTATGTCTGCTTTCATGAACACCCGTGCATGTTGAAAAATCATGAAATTGCTTAATGTCTGTCGACGTTTGTATTGAAATATTATAAAATTACAGCGTGTGCTGCTCAGTGTTGTCAATTGTGGATAGCTGGTTGTTAAAATTCTGCTGTGCAATAATGCCGCTATGGCGACTGTGTGACAAAAAATCATGAAATTGCTTAATGACTGCAAATGTTTGTATTGAAAAATTATAAAATTACAGTGTATGTAGCTCAGTGTTGTCAATTGTGGATAGCTGATTGTTCTAGTTCAGTGATTTTAGAATTTTCAGCTCAGTGTTGTCAATTGGGATTAGCATTGTACTGTCTTGGTAGAAAATTATGAAGCCAATGAAAACTTGCCCAGGCTTCATAATTTTTCTGGCTCCGCCACTGATCGACATCTTCTTCTGCAGAAAATGAACAAATAAAGGAAATGCAAGAAGAAATTAATGCACTTAAAGAAAAGAATTCAAAAATTGATGAATTAACACAGGCAATCATATTCTTAATGCAAAGGGACAAGGCGAGGACAAAGGAAATTGAACTTTTAATGCAAATGCAGAATTTTAGTGGAAGACAGGTATATTATTTTGACGCATTTAAAGTTAAATTTTATGAGTATTATTTTAAAGATTATTATTTTAATACCTTTTTTTAGGGATTGGAATCACCCGCTGATGGTAGACGTTCATCTGAGTCTAGCTACCGTATTGGAGATAATGGAACTTCAGGGGGGAAAAATTAGACTTTGCTATGATCGAGATAATTAGATTGTGAACTTTCTCATGTATTTTTGGCATAATGATACTTATTATTATAAGATTAGGAATTGATATATTTTGGGTTTTTTGACATGATTATGGAACTCGCATTTTACATGATTATGGAACACACATTTTTTTGGATATTATAATGCTTATTTGATGTTAAATATTTTTTATTGAAATTATTTTTACTATATTACAAAGTGATAGAAAATAAAACAAAAAATAATACTATAAATAAATATATTAAAGAAGAAATAATTTAAAGAAAAAAATAACACAAAAAAAACTATATTTAAAATTTTTTACATAGATAATAATTTAAATAAAAAATATATATAATAGAAAAATAAAAAAAAATCAAGACATAAACAAAAGTCATGGCGACAGTACCGAACCGTCGTAATCAACAATTAAAAATAATCAACAAAAGTCATGACGGTATCGAACCGTCGCCATAAACAATTTAATCAATTTCAAAAGATATTCACGACAGTATCGAACCGTCGCCATCAATAATTAAAAGAAACTCAAAAGATAGTCACGACGGTATCAAACAGTCACCAATACTTGATTATGTCAGCTCCAAACCCGTCGTAAACTTGAACGACAGTTTTTGTAACCGTCGCGAAATAGGTTGGGACACACACTTCTGCGACGGTAAAGCAACCGTCGTGGAAAGCAAATTGCGACGGTTTTAACCGTCGTAATCTACAAAAATACCTGTCGCAATCTGCCAATTTTCTTGTAGTGTTTGCACCAGTTGTTCGTGGGAATATTAGTACTAGAAAGAAAATTGTTGAAAATGTTGAGCCCAAGAAGGCTACGGGTGAAGCTAGTGGAGCTACGCTTGAAAAAGAAGTGGATGATATTTTAAAGATAATCAAGATGAGCGACTACAAAATTGTAAGTCAGCTACTGCAAACTCCTTCAAAAATATCTATCTTGGCTTTACTAATGAACTCCTTTGCCCACAGAGAGTCTTTGATGAGGGTATTGGACCAAGCTTTTGTAGAGAGGGATATACCTGTAGACCAATTCAGCAGTGTAGTGGGGAAAATTATGTCATGTAATAACTTGAGTTTCTGCAACGATGAATTTCTAGATGAAGGAAGCAATCATAACCTGGCCCTCCACATCTCTATGAACTGCAAGAATGATTCACTATCCAATGTAATGATTGATAATGGCTCTGCATTAAATGTTATACCAAGGAGCACACTTATGAAGTTGAAATATCAAGGAACGCCCATGCGCCCAAGCGGCATTATTATGAAAGTGTTTGATGAATCAAGGAAATATGTTATTGGTGAAATGGACTTGCCTATTCATATAGGCCCACATTTATTTTAGATTACTTTCCAGGTCATGGATATTGTACCTGCTTATAGCTGCTTGTTGGGACGGTCATGGATACATGAGGCGGGGGTTGTCACTTCGACTTTACACCAGAAGCTGAAGTTTGTACGTGAAGGAAAAGTGGTAATTATAAATGAAGAACAGGCATTATTGATATCTCATTTGTCCTCTTTCAACATTGTAGAGGCGGATGAAGCTACTGTTGGAACCCAGTTCCAAGCTTTATCCATTGACAACATAAGAGGAAATGAGAACTCTTAGCTTCGTTTAAGGATGCACAACAGGTTGTGCGCAATGGCCATAGCGACGTTTGGGGACAAACTGTTGACCCACATGTGAACAAGAATAGAGTTGGCTTGGGGTTCTCTATGAAGAATGATAAAGTTAATGGCATGAAGCTGAAGTATGCTGCAGGCAGGCATCAAGACATCTTTCGTAGCAGGGGTTATCTTTATCCAACTGTTTCCGAGATTAATTCCAGTGTGGAAGATGAAGCAGAGCCAGAAATGCCAAATTATGTGATGCACGGAGCTAGGGTTCAGAACTAGATCACCATTGATGTTCCCTCTTGCATACATGTTTCAAAGTAATTTGTTTTGTTAATCTTTTTGAAAAGCTTTCACTCTGCCCAAGGTGAAAGTATTAATATTATATGGGCTTATCTGTTTGTTGTGACTTTTAAAATCAATAATAAAAGTTGTCTTTGTTTCCCAAATTGTATTTTTATTTTTTGCTTTTTCTTGGAAAATGGTAATCAGAAAGAAAGAAAAAACCTTTCAAAATAAATAATAACTGAAATTCAATCTGCATGATCACTTGTTATATATGTCAGTTTCTAAAAGCAATCATAAATCATATGTGCGGATTAATTTAAAAACTTGTTGAATACAATGACCCTGCACCCTCTCCCAACTTTGAATGTCCTGTGTATGGGGCCAAAGAAGAAGAATATGATGAGGTTCCAGAAGAGGTCTCACAGTTGCTTCAGCACGAGGAGAATGCCATTCATCCATATAAAGATCCATTGGAAGTAATCA